TCCTCCAAGTGGACAGTGTTCAGACAATTTGGCATTTAGCAACTATGCTATTTTGTCTATATATTTCTCAGGTGACATTTTACTGTACAACTTGGCAAGGCTGCTTAGCGAGTTGCATGCAAAAAGACTGAACACTGGGAACACTTGCTATGGATGACAATATTCATAATGCCTTGCCTTCTATTCCTGAAAGTAGAACTGAACGTTATCTCCTGCTTCTCATCGTCTTTCTCTTCTTTTTCTTCCAATCCCTTCTGTTCTGCCTCCTCACCGGGTGTCCTGATCGTTACCTGCCCGCCCGTCTTTTTTACCTTTTTATTCTTCTTTTTCATTTCCTTCAGCAGTTTCTTCCTGGCGATTGCAGCCTGTTTCTTTCTCCGTTCTTTTTCCTTTTTCCTTTTCAAGGCGCTGGGACTTCTATCTGCATTGATTTTCTCTGCATCATCCAGCGACTGAAGTAGTCTACGTTGTCTCTGCGACTCGGTGGAACCGGGATAGCTGAATTTTCAAATTAACAATCAACTAAGTGCAAAATCATGCTTTTATCAATGTATGTTATTAATTTATAAAAACAATTAAATTTAAATTTTTATTTTTTTTATTTTATGAATACACAGAGAGAAAATGACCATTATTATTCCACTGTGTTGTCTTGGGGAGACAAATGTATTCAAAATTATTCATCTATGATAGTCATCAACCAAGTTGGAAATGGTCACATAATTTCTCGTGTAATCATGTATTTTATTTTTAAAGGGCAGTGGTCATCACAAAAGGCATGACCGAATTTTGAAGAAAACAGTAATGTATTTTACATGTGTTTGTACATCTATTGGCCCTATATCAAACACAAAGTAGTGTGACAACCATTGCCCCTTAATTGTCAGAAAAAAAGACATGACAAACTAAATTTGTTTCACATCATTAGCAATATTATTATCACTAGATACATGTAGTACAAATCCTTGTCAGATATCTTTATGAAATTATTACATTGTAGGTGTCAGGATATTAAAACAAAACAACCCGCAATCAGTGCAGTGCATTATTAACTGTTAAAAGGTAGTTATTAGAAAATATGTGCAAAAATTAAATTTTATAAAACAAGCAAGCTTAGACAATGGGTGCAATAAGCATGCCAAGCAAAGACGCAACAAAATATACATGCATGCATGCAACACATGCAATTATTTGCTTTATTATGCAAATTTTTACAGTGGTGTAGTTAGGTTTTGTTAATGGTTCGATTACCTGAATTGCCAGTCATCGATCGGCGGTAGAAAACTGCTCGGGATGTGAATTGTGCAACGAAAAAAAGTAGATAGATGTTGCAGCGGAAGAAAAAAAAAGTGCATAAAAGTTCATTAGTCAGAGAAAAATAAAATCATTTTTTTGGAAAACATTGTAGAAATGGTGAAAAATAAGCAATTGGCTTCACTCTTGTAGGCTAGAATTGAATTGAATTCATTGTTTTTATGGTGTACGAAACACAACGTATTTTCACTGAAATTGATCAACGAAGTATTCAAGTTGATCTTTGGAATTTAGTTATTTAAACCAAACAAAATGCTGCATATTTTAATGATGATATTGAAATGTTAGTAGTAGCCAGGTAAATGATGATGGCCTTTTTCCCAGCAAAAATCTAGCCTAAGCTTTGCAAACAAACTGCTTAACTTTTAAATCTGACCAAACAGAAGCTAGCTTTGCCACCAAAGCTGCAGTAAACACAAGCTACTTTTTTTCCAAAAAAAAAATACAAGATAAAAATAGACATGGAGTAGAGTCAGTGACAGACATATACTGGGTTTGGTGTCAGGTGACTGCTTAAGGTGTCAGGTGACCACATTTTGATAGAAAGTGTTTATGTTTGGTATCTGGTGACTGTGTTAGATGTCAGGTTA